CACAATAGCCAATACTTGGAAGCAACCTAAGTGCCCATCAACAGATGAATGGATAAAGAAGTTGTGGTATATATATAATGGAATAGTATTCAGCCATAAAAAGATGAAATTGTGCCTTTTGTGACAACATAGATGGACCTTGATGGTGTTATGCTAAGAAAATATAGACAATAGAGAAAGACAATTACCATATGATGTCACTTATATGTGGAAGGTAAAAAAACAAAGAAACTCATACATATGGAGAACAGATTGGTGGTTACCACAGAGGAATGGGATGGGGGGAGGGCGAAAGGGGTATAGGGGCACATATGTATGGTGACAGATGAGAACTAGACTTTTGGTGTTGAACACGATGCAGTGTGTACAGAAGATGGAATATAATGATGTACACCTGAAATTTACATAATGTTACAAACCAATGTGACCTCAATAAAATGAAAAAAAAAAGAAAAATAAAAAGAGAAAAAAACCCTCACAAAATCCAAGTGTATGTTGCTTAAAAAAGACACACCTAAAAGATAATCACAGAACAGTCTAACAATAAGGAAATAGGTAAAGATATGGCAATATTGGTATCAGACAAAAGAGAATTCATGATGAAAATTATTAACATAAATGAAAAGGAAATGACTTAGTATATAATCTTTTAGCATCCACCAAGAAGATACAACAATCATGAACCGGTATGCACCTCCTAATATCCTCTTAATATCTAAAACATTAGTTGACTTAATTAGAAAGAGCAATTGACAAATCCACATTCACAGTGGGACATTTTAACACTGACAGAACAAAGCACACAAATAAGTAGTAAAGGTGTAGAAAATTTGGACAAGTTAAAAAAATGTTTATATCCTCTAAAGGGTACTGATTATTTTGGGTTGACAACCTTGTATAACTCTCTTATTGTTTCTTATTAGTTTATCTATAGATTATCTTTTTTAACTGGAAAATGATATAATCTACAAATTACTACTATTTACTCTCTTTTAATCTTTATATCTTTTGTTTCTATTTCTTATCTTACTGCACTGACCATTACTTCCATCCAATACAATGTCAAATAGTAATTAAGTAAGTGGGCATCCTTGGTATATTCTCATCCTTAAGGAGAACACTACTAAAGTGTCATCATTAAGTAAAATGCTTGAAATAGATATTTTTTATGGTGGGAGAGATACCCTTTATCAGTTTAGAGAAGATCCTTTCTATTCCTAGTTAACTAAACTAGTTAAATACTTATGAATGAGTGTTAAACACTATTGAATGTCTTTTCTGAATTATATGTTTTTTTCTATATGATATCTATTCTTTAAAATTTGTCTACCCTATGGACAATTAACAACCTTGATGTAAGGCACATATAGGTAAACTACTCCCAACAGCTATAGAATACACATTAGTGTATATATATATAAACATATATATATATTCAGCCATCTTTGCATTTCTAGGAAAGAGCCTACTTGGTCTTAATATATTTTTTACACAGTGCTGGATTGAGTTTATTATTTTATTTTTCTAGTTTTTAATTTATGTTCATAAGATTGACATATAATTTTCTTGTACAATCCTTGTCCACATGTGGTATTAAGTTTATACTAGCCTCATAAAATATGTAGGACATCCAAATAATCATGGTGGTTTAATCAAATCTATTTGTCTCCTCTTCTTTCCAAACTCCACCAAAATAACATAAAGGAATAAAATAGGAATAATCTACAAGGAAAAAGAGACTAGGATTAGAGAAGGGTAACAGAGGGGTCTTCACTAAATTATTATTTTTAAGAACTACAGCAAATATAAGGGGGGAGGGAGGAAGGCGAAAGGGATAATTCGGCACATGTGTGTGGTGATGGGTTGTAATTAGTATTTCGGTGGTGAACATGATGTAATCTATGCAGAAATAGAAGTATAAGGATGTACACCTGAAATTTATACAATGTTGTAAACCAATGTTACTGCAATAAACAAACAAACAAAAAAGAAACTCCATGCTAATTGGAGTTTTATCATAATTGTAAAAAAAAAAAAGAACTACAGCAAATATATTAAAATGTTAAAATATGACTCAGCTGGATTGCAGGTACATGGGTGTACCTGTATAGTTTTCCATTCTCTTTCCTTCATAATTTTCAGTTGTAATGAAATATTTCTTAATGTTAAAAATGCACAGAAAATAAAGAAGCTACTTTCAGAAAGTGACATGTGCTCTAAAGGTGCTTCTCAATTTTTAATGTGCATATGAATAACTTGGGGAATTCTTATTAAAATGCAGATTCTGAATCATTAGGACTGGAGTGGGGCCTGGGATTCTGCATTTCTTATAAGCTCCCAGGTGATGCTAATGCTGGTGGTCCATGGATCACACTTTGAGTACCAAGATTTTAAGAGAAATAAAACAAGGCAATGGGATAGAGAGTAGCAGGGACAGATGATGGCTTCTTTAGATAAGATGCTCTTGAAAAGCTTCTCTAAGCAGGTGATATTTGAGTCATTAAAAAGTCTCCAGGGGGCCAGCCCAGTGGTGTAGTGGTTAAGTTTGCACACTATGCTTCAGCGGCCCAGGGTTCGCACGTTTGGATTCCGGGTGGGGACATATGCATCGCTCATCAAGCTATGCTGTGGCAGCGTCCCATAAACAAAATAGAGGAAGACGGGCACAAATGTTAGCTCAGGGCTAATTTTCCTCAGCAAAATGAGGAAGATTGGCAACGGATATTAGCTAGGGCCAATCTTCCTCACCAAAAAAAAACCTCTCCAGGAAGGAAGGATGTTCCACGTAGAGGGGAAGGCAAGTGCAAAGGCACTAAGGTGAGAATAAGTTCTGGCATTTTCTAGAAACAGAAAAGACCACCGTAGCCTTTTAAGTACTCAAGTGTTTCTTCCACATGTCAGGTACAATTATGTGAAAAGAGCGCTGTATTTAGAGTCAAAAACCTAGATTTGGTCTTCATCCCATTAGCTCTGTGACCTCTGTCAAGTCACAACCTGTTTCTTCATAAATACGGGAATATTAATAAATAATACCTATTCTCCAGGGTTGATGTGAGGATTAAATAAGATAAGGTATGGAAAAGCATTTTGTAAATTGCAAAATAGTACACACATATAAGTATAATTATTCCATAAAGTGATGTCATGTGACTTGTGTCTGCAACAGCTATTTATAGTAGCTTTTATTGCGCACTCCTCTGTCTCTTTATTTTGGACACTTAAGTGTCAAGTTGCTGCAGGCCAAGTTGGCCTGTCTGTTGCTGCACTTCTCTAGTAGTGCACAACTCTCACTATGCTTCATGTTCTATTTCTGGGTGCACTGGAAATTTTCTTTGGCTTATTTGTCTCATGTTTGACACACTTCAGTTTATCAAAGAGTAACTACTTGGGTATTCCAATGTTATTCACATTTCTTAATCAGAGGAGTTGGCTTACAATGAGCACTACTTCAGTAAAAATATGTTGACTCCATTCAAATACCTCACAACTGTTGTTCCATGCCAATAATGCCTGTAGGTGATTCTAATGAAACTTCTCAAAAATCCTGAGAAATCATCTGTAGGGTCAGGTGTTTCAGAATTCTGAGGTCTCGCCTAATTTAAAATCTTATGATTTTATATGGCCTCTAGAGATTTTCAATTAAACCTTATGTTTCAGTGTAGGCAACATCTTTAGTGTAAAAAACAACGGAATAGCACCAGAATACCACAATTCTAGTTCTGATTCTATCACCACGTGGCCCTTTTCTTTATCTACTAGGAAGGAGGCATACCTCAAAAATCTGTTATTAAAATCCAGTAAGATAATAATATGTGTGTGTCTGAAAGTATAAAAATTTAAGATATTATTTTGTCACATTATATCTGACAATCTCTCACAAAATATATATTGCATAGGTTCCTACATTTTTAAAAAACTAGAGCACGACTGGACAACACCTTACCTGGATAGAAATATTCAGTGGCACTATTCAGCCCTAATAGAAATCATTGGTAGAGTCTAGGGTTCAAGTTCTGGTCTGTCTTGGTCCTTGGGTTCTGTGGGAAGGAGAATCTTTGGTTCTGGGTCATTTCAGGTCAAGAGTTCTTCTTTTGCACATGCTCTGGCTATGTGACTTTGTAGATTTTCTGAAAGATAATTCTTAATCACTCTGTTGATAAGAGATGGGGTCTGTTGAACTGGTCCTGGAGGGCCTGCAGTTACAATAGTGGTGACAAAACAATATAAACCTGTCTTTAAACATGGACTTCTCTATATACATCTTCACTTTACCATCCCTCAGCCAATCTATCTGTTTTGTAATAATTAGGGCCGCTGCAGAAACCAAAGGGAAGAGCTATAAAGAGAAGCAAATTAACAAAGATGTGTATGTGTGTGTGTGTACAACTGTCCCAAGAGCAACAGACCAAAGGAAAACTGCCTCAAGGTTTGCGTGAAAGAAAACTAGCAGCCAAGTAAAAACGCTTACAGGACCAGCAGGTCGTGAATCTCGCGAATAAAGCCTCCTCCCTGGGGAAATTCATATCTGTAGTTTAATCTACCCTAAGCGTTACCGCACAGGAGAGTGAAGCTAAGAAAACGCAGAGGGAAAATGGAGAGAGTGGAGCGTGGTACTGAGTTGGAGGTGGTAAGAGAATAGTGGAATGACGGATAAGATAGGGTTGCCAGATTTAGCGAATGCAGTATTTGGGACATACGTATACCAAAAAAATTATTTGTTGTTTACCTGAAATTCAAATTTAAGTGAGCATCCTGTATATTATCTGGCAAATCTAGTAAAAGAGAGAAAGACAATGTTACTCCGACATTCCTGGTTGTGTACGAAAACACACTCAAAGGCCAGCCAAAGAAGAAAACAGTCCTTTCGCCAAAGCATCCGACTCTTCAGAGAGAAGCTATTTCCGCTCTTGGGCTCCGGGAAAACCAGGAAAGGCGAGAGGATTAAGGTAGCCGAGTTCGGTCCGCCAGCGTCCCATAATCCTCTGCTCTCGGTTCCTCGTTCCTCGCTCAAGATGGCGCTGCTCGCGATACGTTCGTGGCGCTGGGGAGCTGCGGCGGCTGCTTTCGAAAAGCGCCGGCACACCGCGATTCTGATCCGGCCTTTAGTCTCTGTCCGCGACCGAGGTCCGCAGTGGAGGTCACGTCATCTCGGCGCCTCTGGAACCGTCCGAATCTCCCAGGTGAGATGCCGTTCGCATGGAAGAGTAGGGTGAAGGACAAGTGGACCTATAGCGAAAAGGTTGTCCTCGTGTTCTCGGGTCAGAGACAGCGCCAAGAAGAAAGGCTGTCAGGGCTAACTCGGAGCAGCAGTAAGTGAAGGAAGTTAGGGTTAGTAATTTGAGGACAGGGTGAAGAAAACCTCTGGGGTACAGCAAATGGAAAGGCGACGGGAGGTTCCGGGCAGAGGGCACCTGGAGCGCTGGTGACTCGCGCAGGATTTACAGTTTTTTCCTCTGAGTTTAAGAAGATGAGGTAGACACCATTCCCAGACTGCTTCTCTTTCTAAATGGAAGGAAAACTGGGCTACTTTCCAAAGTTAGTAATGGAATTTGGGACCAATTTGCCTGTGGTTCAGATTTTACTCAGTCGGAAGTAGCAATTTGGAGGGCATTTTAAGATGACAGCAAGCTACCTGTAAACAAGCGGCAAATTGAGTTGGCACCGGTTAACTCCCTTGCTGACAGACAGTGCTCCTTGATAGGCCAAAACCATCATTATCTTTCTCTCCAAAACACAGACCGCCCTAAATTCATATGTAAACACGTTTGTCCTTTGATCTGAACATAGTATTCTTCTGTATACACAGGTCACTTTGAAAGCCATAAGGTTACTTATCTTTAACTAATGAATGTAGCTATGATTATAGTGCCCCTTAATATTTGCGTCCATTATTATCTCTCTCTCAAGAACAGTTTTTTTTTTTTTTTTTTTGTGAGGAAGATCAGCCCTGAGCTAACATCCATGCTAATCCTCCTCTTTTTGCTGAGGAAGACTGGCTCTGAGCTAACATCTGTTGCCAATCCTCCTCCTTTTCCCCCCCAAAGCCCCAGTAGATAGTTGTATGGCATAGTTGCACATCGTCTAGTTGCTGTATGTGGGCCGCGGCCTCGGGATGGCCGGACAAGCAGTGCGTTGGTGCGCGCCCGGGAGCCAAACCCCAGCCACCAGTAGCGGAGTGCGCGCACTTAACCGCTAAGCCACCAGGCCGGCCCAAGAACGGTTTTTTTTAAAATTATTGGTCCTTGCTGTACTTCAGTATATCTTTTTATTTCCTATATATTGACAAAAAGTGTAATTGCCACCACTTGTTTATCAGTATCACTAAAGTATTTGTATGAGCTTTGTATGAGAAATAACCTCTTAAATTTTGATTCATCAACAAATATTTAATGTCTAGTATGTGCATAGCACTATGCTAGATAATGGGGTACCAAGAGAAACAGATACAGTAATACCTTCCAGATTGGTCAATTTACTTAAGGGGGTTGGATCTATGCATTATAAAAATAACTAAAAAACAAGATAGTAGGTTAAATATCAAATGAACAGCATGAACAATAAGGGCTGTGGGCATCCAGAAGAAATAGTGATAATTAAGGACTCAATTATAGAGAGAATCTTATGCTGGTGATAGAACTGGGGAGAACATTTCAAGCAGGGAGAATAGGAAATGACACTAGAAATGTGGAACATGGGAAGAATTATATCCATTCATTCTTTCAGTTATTATTGAACACCTTTACAGCAGTGAACAGAACAAAATATAAGCCCTGGCCTTAAAGAGTTTAAAGTCTAGTAGGGGAAATAGGTAACTAAACAGACAACTATAATACAGTAGTGCAATGATGAGGAAGGTAAAAGGAATGGAAGAATATACATGAGGGGCATCCAGTCTAATCTTGAGGTGGGGAAAATTGCCTTGAGTAACTGATATCTAAGCCAAGGCCTGAAAAATTAGAAGTTAGCTAGTTAAAGGGAATAGCATGTGCAAAGGCCCATAGGTAAGAGTGAGCATGGACCTTTTGTAGAACTGCATATAGTTTAGACTAGTGAGGAGTTCATGATAGGAAGTGGCAGATGAGGCTAGAGAAACAAATCCAGATCATTTTACTAAGGTTTTTAAAGCACTTTATAGTCGGAAGTTGTAACATGTGATCTCTTATGAACCATTCTTGTTCTGTAGTCCTCTAATAAGCCAGATGAAGTTAAGATAAAATTTTTGGGACTTTGTCAGGCTGGAGGAATAAGGGGGAAGAAGTCCTTAGGAGTTTCAGAGGAGGTGATGGCAATAAAAAGTTAGCTTTCTCTCTTTTCATGAACCTCATCCCCACAACTTCCTTCCTTTCTCCACTATCTTCTCTACATCCTACCATTTCCTTTGGTTACCATTTCCGAAGTGTGAAAAACAAGGGAAAGATGTTACCTTTGTTTTTTACTTCTTGAAAGTAGAACTCCTGCCATCTTTTTAAAAACTGTGGATTTAACAGGGCCGTGAAACAATGATTATAAGGCTTTTAAAGTAAAACCTGATATAACCTGAGGCACCTTCAAATTAGTGATTTATGGTTAAGATTACAAAATAGATATTGAATGCATACTTTTAGGACAATCATTGGTATATAGCATTATATTTTAGAGCTGAAAGGAACCTTAGTGTAGTGTTATGAAATCATATTAGTGGATTGGATCAGCATTTAGATGAAATTCAGCAGAATAGGAAAGAAAATGTCAGTGCTTTATACATATTAAGGGAAATGTTGTTTTATATATATATAAATAGTATATATTTATATACACACGCACACACACATATATGTACACACTCCCACATGTATGGGATTACTAGGATGCATTATAAAATGTGTTTTTCACACAGGATTATTCCCTAGAGCTATGTTGTGCAATATGGTAGTCACTAGGTTCATGTGGCTATTAAAATTAAATTAAATTAAAATTTAATTCCTCATTTGAATTAGCCACATTTCAAGGGCCAAATAGCCACATAGATATGGAACATTTCCATCACTGCAGGGAGTTCTATTGAACAGTGCTGCTTTAGAGAATATCATATCCAATCCTTCTAATTTTGCAGATGTGGAAACTAAGTCCTAGTGTAGATAAAGGACAGCATTTAAGACTATTCATTTATTTATTGCCTTTTGTGTATCAGGTATTTATATAAGGGTAAATAAAATAAGACTCTGGCAGACACTAAGCACATAATATTTGTTGAGTTGTAAAGATACTTATTTAATAATTACTAGAGCATTATTAATAGAGGGAAACACCTTAAACATAAAAGTTTTTCTTAAAATTGGAAGATTTCATATGATAAGATTTAAATTGTAATGATTTATTATGCAGTTGCCTCTACTACATTAGTTAATATTAAAAGGACTTATGAATTTTGAATGATAGAATTTTGGGTTTATTGCATTAATATTTATATGGTAGAAACAGGCATCATATAGTTAATCCATAGTACCTTTTATCTAAGTTTAAAGAGCCCTTGACTCTTCGTCCTGGCACTGATTATATACTTTCTTCATTTGTTTTTTTTTTAAACATCTTTATTGAGATTAATTCACATACCATACAGTTCACCCATTTAAAGTGTGCAATTCAGGGCCCGTCCCAGTGGCATAGTGGTTAAGTTCACACGCTCTGCTTCAGCAGCCCAGGGTTTGCAGGTTCGAATCCTGGGTGTGGACTGATGCACCACTCCTCAAGCCATGCTGTGGCGGTGTCCCACATACAAAATAGAGGAGGATGGGCACAGATGTTAGCTCAGAGCCAATTTTCCTCAGCAAAAAAAAAAAAAAAAAAGAATATTGGCAGCAGATGTTAGCTCAGGGCCAAGCTTCCTCAAAAAATAAAAATAAAAAAAATAAAGTGTGTGCAATTTAATGGATTTTATTATATTCAGTGATATGTACCACTGTCACCAAAGTCAATTTTATATTTCATTTCCTCAAAAAGAAGCCTGCTACCCTTTTGGCTATCACTCCCCCATCCCCCTGCCCCACCAGCCCTAAGCAACCACGAATCTACATTCAGTCTCTATAGATTTGTCCATTCTGGACATTTCACATAAATGGAATCATACATTATGTGGTCTTTTGAGACTTGCTTCTTTCACTTATCATTATGGCATGTATTAAGTACTTCATTTCTTTTTATGGCCAAATAATACTCCGTGATATGGATATACAGGATTGTCTGTATGCATTCATCAGTTGATGGATATTTGGGTGGGTTTTTTCCATCTTTTGGCTGTTATGAATAATGCGTCTATAAACATTCACGTACAGGTTTTGTATGAACATAAGTTTTCATTTCTCTTGGGTGTATACCTAGGAGTAGAATTGCTGGGTCATATGGTAACTCTATGTTTAATTCCTTAAGGAACTTCCAGACTGGTTTTCAAAGTGACTATACCATTTTACATTACCATCAGAAATTTTATGAGGGTTCCAATTTCTCCACATTCTTGCCCAATAGTTGTTACCTGACTTTTTAAATCTAGCCATCCTAGTGGATATGAAGCATTATCTCATTGTGGTTTTGATTTGTATTTCCCTGGTGACTAAACATGTTGAGCATCTGTCCACGTGCTTATTGGCCATTTGTATATCTTCTTTGGAGAAATGTCTATTTGGGTCCTTTACCGATTTTTTAATTGGGTTATTTATCTTTTTGTTATTGAGATGTGAGAGTTTCTTTTTATATGTTCTAGATTCAAGTCCCTTATCAGATATATGATTTGCAAATATTTTCTCCCATTCTTTGGGTTATCTTTTTTATATATTCTAGATTCAAGTCCCTTATCAGATATATGATTTGCAAATAGTTTATCCCATTCTGTGGGTTATCTTCTTACTTTCTTGATAGTGTCTTTTGAAGCACAAAAAATTTTTCATTTTGATGAAGTTAAGTTTACCTATTTTTTTCTTTTGTTGGTCATACTTTTGGTGTTATAGCTGAGAATCCATTGCCAAATCTAAGGTCATGAAGATTTACCTGTATGTTTTCTTCTAAGAATTTAATAACTTAATTCTAGTGAGATGTAGAAACATTACTCTGGTTTGGTTCTAGTTCCTTTTTCCCTTTTGTTGTTTTATTTTTATATATATGTTACATCTATAAATGTTACAATCCTAACAATACTTTGTCATAATTA